GGAAGACAGCCCGGCGCAGGAAATGGCTCTGGAAAGCTCAGCACAGCCGTGGCGAGCTGGAGTCAGCTCCTGGCAGGGGATACAGATCCGTGCAGGTGTGAGGGCGTGGCAGGGTGGGGGAGACACTCACAGCGCCCCTGTTGTTCTTGAGCTCGCCGTGGCAGCTGAGCACGCGGGAGCTGTCGATCAGCAGGTCGCGCTGGCTCTCCTCCAGGTACAGCAGCCGCTCTTTGTAATACTGGCACTCCGACTCGCCCGTCTTCGTGTTGATCTCCGCCACGATGCCCTGGATCATGTTGATCTGGGGGGGGGACAGACGGACACACAGTAAGGCCTACCCGCTGCACACCTCGTGCTTGTTGTTTGCCGACAGATTAGCAGCCACATGGGAAGCGTGCCTCCCTGTTTATTGAACAGTTGATATTACAGGTTCCTGAACTGTTGCCGATGACAGCAGGGTGACGCATGCTTTACCGGAACAGTTTTCCCAATTCAGTCAATATATCACATGCCACTTCTTTGATGATGCATTCAAAGCTAGCACTCCAGGACCACAGTGCCTTCTACATGTCTCCGTGTAATCCTGTTATCATGTTATTGACGTAATTGCGGAATTGAATTTTCTAGCCAGTTTTTCAAGAACATTTAAAGGAACCCATAACCTATTCAGTACTGAAGTCATCCAGGATAGGAATACTCCTACTGTCCTAGACATCCCTCACTAAGGTAGTGACTTAGCATGGGCAGATCTAAAGAATAAAGCTGAGTACAGGTGTATGCTTGTTTTACAGGTGAATAAAATGGGGACTAGCTTCACAAAACCACTAAGTGAAACACAGAAAGGCAAGCCAGTCAACAAGTGTAGATTTGCTAAGTTTAACATTTTACTACACTGCCTAGCTAAGTTGGTGACAAATGGTACATGGGTGCTTGTACGTGACATCACATTCCCATTGCTGTACGGGTTTTTAAAGCTTAACGAACAAGATCCAGACCAACTGCAAGCTGCCACAGGGAAGCAACAGCAGCTGCTGAGCACAGCCCGGAGACAGGCAGGCTGACGAAAGACCCTGTGCATTTCTCTGGCCGCTGTTGACAGCAGGCTTTCAGCAAGCTTTCAGGGCGTCAGGGCCACAGTAGCAGGCTCAGCCTGGCCCGCTGGGACTCTTGACTGAAAAGTGAGCTGCCGCCTAAGGAAGCCAGGGGGATCTTTCGCTTTCTGAACTTGTCATCCAAGTGGGATAGAGAAGGGCTTTAAAGACCACCTAGATAGGACTTCAGTCTTATTCCCACAATCGTGAAGTAGAAATAAAAGGAATGGCCAGCAATCAGCCTTGTTTTGCATGTTTTAACATGGAGGGCTATTTTACATGCTTTTGTTGGCATCACTTTGTCTCATTTTTAACATCAGTCCATAAAAAAAACCAAAAAGCTAAAAAGCTAAATATACGGTCGCAGCCCCCTTGCCATAGTTTACCCAGCACATAAAATGAAATGAAACCCCTCGTCCAGTGCTCACCGCCTCATCCAGGTGCTGCCGGTCAGGGTGGTCATTGGCCGTATGCTTCAGGATTTCGCGCAGCAGCAGGGGGTACTTCACCAGCCGGCTGCGAGGGATGTCTAGGAAATTCCAGAGGTCCAGCTTGCGGCTGAAGGGGGACTCCAGGCAGCGCTGCAGGAAGTCCTGGACACGGTGATCCTGCTTCTTGTGGTCCAGCAGAGCCTTGGCTGCCACCTGGTTGCTGCAGTAGCTGTTGTAGGAGTTGAGACAGGGCAGCTAGAGGGGTAGAGAGAGAGGAGACGTCAATGGGGGGGGATCCCTAAAATCAGTGTGGCGGATTTTCCCGTGTGCCAAGTTAAGGTTTAAAGTTCTACACACATTGTGTGTCCTCCAGCATCCCACCTAACCCCTCAGCATACAGAAAATCAATCCCAGAAAAAGTCCATCGGTCACTTGTTTCTTTCCACTGAAATGGCACTAAGGACAAATATCCATTTAAATGTCAGGCAAATGGATTAAAATTACTCTTTCAGCTAATTCACTGAAAACAATGAGGTGTTTTCCTTCAAACATGATCCTATAGGCCAGTTTAAAGAGTGATGAGTCTTCTTTAAGAATGAGCAGTCCATCATGTGCTCATCATGTTCTGCCAGAAAAACCCTTTAGTGCAGCTTCATTCTAAGGACATACTGTAATGCACTTTTTAAATGTGAAATCACATTTCTACCCAACCTATAGATTTGCCTTAAGTTATTTTTGCAACTCCAGTAAAGAGGGAGTTGATTCTCATAGCTTTCTGACTCATACATTAGGAATGTCAAACTAAGTTACCAGCAGACATTTAGTTATCTATCTCTGAAGAACCCTAAATGCTGAATTCTGGAAAATGTACTGGTGGGTGGATAGCCTTTCCTCTCTTACAGAGAAATGTGAATTATCTGCTATCTCTTATCCTGGATTTATTCAAATTAGACATCAGCGTTTGCAACTACGATAAAAACTCGGTTTTAGAAGCCCTAGTCTGTACATGAGAAAATATTGAAGTCCCACCCGCTCCAGGAATCCACCATAAAAGATCTTTCCTCAAGAAAATAATTTAACTAAAATAATTTCCCTTCACACTTTAGCATGTCAAGAATTCAGCCAAGAAACCAGTTAAAACTGGAGTTTTCAAATGCATGATGAGGTTGTGTTCTCCAGAATTCACAACAGATCTGAAACTTACAATGCATGCAGAATCACATCAAGCACATCAAAAAAACATCATGCAGCATTTGACCATTACAGTACTAGTAACAGCAAACTTCAGATAACAGTACATAAAGAAATGATCATGAATATCGATCTATTTCACAGACTTCTACCACAGCCACATTTTTCAGTTAACTCATGACCAGTTAACAAGTCATCAGCATTTACGCATTTTAACAGTGACTAGCTGGCTGCACTTTTGATGGCACTCTGAAGGATAATGTTTATTCCACAATGCTGCAATCTTGTAAAAATGTTTTAGATAGCTTCCATTTCAAGTTTACTTAAAGTGCTGTGATTCAGTCTGCAATAGTAAACAGTTGCATACAGGGGCTTGATTTAGCTCCTGCTTTCCCACTCAGACATGAATTGGTCAGCTTGCTGTAAATGATCTAAGATCAAGCCTTCGATGAGACAAAGTTGAATGCGAAACCATAAACAGGGGAACAGAACATTCTTCCCTTTAAAAATGTCAAGCCTTGTGGATAAACAGTAGGGCCACATGGACTGTCATGGTGAACTAACGTGTTGGAAAAAACGGGTTTCCGGTGTTTAAATAAGCCTGCCTACTCAATTCTCCTACCATCTTAATACTTCATATGTACAAAAGTTCAATGATGCATCCATGGCATCTGCCTAAGTCTTCTATTTTATCAGATAAAGCCAGATATGGAGTTGTACTGAAAGTAAGGTGGGAGCCCAACTAAAGTGGACTCTTCACCACTGACCAGCAGTTTCATGGTCTGACATCAGGCACACCAATGTCAGACCATTCCCCCCCCATCCCCAATTTAAAGGACCAGTTAAAGGCAATTAGACCAACCATGTGTTTTCTAATACCGACTTTAGCGTTATGACCATTATCATTACTTCAGACATCCTTATCCAGTAGACTTTAGGTATAGAAAATTTACATTAAAAGCAAGTATATGGAACAACTGTGCAGCTACAAGAAGATACAATCACACAAAAATGAGGCTACCAAAAAAAGAAACGGTAAGAATTAATACAGCACACAGACTGAACACATTTTAAGTAAACTGGCTCATTCCTCCATTCATGATTTAAATCCTCCTAGCAAAACGCTTACACTATTTCACTAGCATTGGCAATGCTCATCAGCTATGGCAAAAAAACGCCAACCCTTCAATGTCACAAAAGTGTAATGAGGCTGGTGTTCATGTTAACGCCTTTAGAAAAACAGGGTAGCTGTTTAGTTGGTTACAGCCTGTAATCTGGGCCCAAATGGATTGTATTTCACAGTATTTAAGGCTTCTTGGTTTTGTTTTTTACCTTGCAAATTGCTCAGTCGCTGTAAAAGCCCTTGCTTAGTTTTTGACCACCAAACAAATTGGCCATTTCTAAAGTACTGCTAAACCCCAGACCTTCCCCCTGTATACCTTTAATCTGCTCTTATCAGTTTGTAGAGATGCACCATGGCAACCAGTTAGCCCATAATCCTTGCTTTTCTCCCCCGTACCACACAGCCTGGTGTTCTTATTCACCCTCTTTGCGGCGTGCATAGTATTTTCCACAGTTTAGTGTCCTTACTGACGTTTTAGTTATATTGGGCGAATTACTGTATATTCAGTCACCATGGTTACTACATTACAACACCACGGGGACCTTGGGCCGATAACTTGTTTATGAAGAATGCTCTTTGCAGCTATTAATCTTCGTTGCAAATTATTGTGGGATGTTTAAAAATACACAAAAACAATAAAAAAAATTACACAATTCAAAAAGAAAAGCCTGCATCAGGCTCCCTGGCTTTCAACCAAGTTTATATATTCATGTATTGCTAGATCCACTGACAGCCAAACCGCTCTCCACATATAAAACAACTGGAAAACCTCTGCTCCAGTGATTCCATGACACAATAAAGAATGGAGTTTATTGAGTAATCTCCCTGAACAATCCATATTAGCCCTGACAAAAGTTCAGAGATTTGGGACACCCTGTTCGATTCAGTTAAGATACACAGTTCAAACAGTCAATTCATGTGGCCTCCAGCACACAACGCTTCACTCGAATTTACAAAGTTAAAATAAGGACATTCAACAAGACTGTCAAGAGTGATAAATGGGCCAGCTCTCAACACACATTTTTTTAGTACAGCAGATATGTACAGCAGTTTGTGCTTGCTGCGTTTTCAAACCTGCTATTGAAACACGGTGAAAAACACTTCTGGTGCTTTGTTTTGGGGGCATGGCAGACAGAAATGCTAAGTGTAATCAATCTGCTTACAGAACTGAACTGCACTACAGTGCTCTCTGCAGGTGGGATGGTTGCTCATCCATACAGGACTATGCTAGTTCAGCCTCAATTTGTCTCAATGAGTCTTGCAATCTTTTCCAGAAGAGGTTTATTTCAACACTATCAAGCTACGCAGACCGTAAAACAACCTTTGGCTGTACTTTTGTGGGGGGAGGGGAGGAAGTGGCACTTTGCAGTCTCTGCAGACTCACATTCACCAGCATGACTGGGAGAAGGGCAGGAATAGAATGGGCTGGAAGTGTCTGTGCATTGGGGAGGGGTGGTTTTGGGCTGATTGGTTGTGATGCCCCACTGCGTCTTACCCAGCCCACGAGGATGTGGCCAACATGCTCTGTCGAACCGTCTGGCTTCCTGGCTTCTCGGAGACGGCTCAGGAGATCTAAACCATTGAAAAGAAGCAGTTTTAAAAAGCTCCGTACCTTGGCAGGGAAAAGAAATCTCAAAAAAGATAAATTTCCACAGAGCTCACAGCTGAAACGTTGTGTTTTCTTTCTTCTCTTTTCAGCATGGAATAAACCTTTACTTGTTCCTTTGTAGCCTACGCATGCTGACGCAGCTACCCACCTGAACTATCTCATACATTTTGCCTGGTTACAAGCTTCTAGCTGTAAACATGCCAGACAGTAAGTTACAGTACAAGCATCAGGGTAGTCTTCACAAAACCTGGAATCATTGCTAAAGAGGACTTGGCTTCACTGCTAGCACGCCCACCTGGAGCAATTTAGTCGTGTGTTAAGTTTGCGTGCATCATGGTAAGTGTTCAGTGTTCACTTAGACACTCAAATACCCAAAATCCATTTACCAGATTTAAAAAAAACGTATGAGTTGTGAGTTTCTTTTGATACTCAGTACAGAAACACCACAACATAAAACAGTCTTTACATGTCTACCCTGCCTCTGGGGACTTAAGTAAGGTCAAACTGCACAGAAATGACTTGCTATAAATTAAAATAAACTGAGAACAGAAAGAAATTCCTGAACCTCTTTTTAACTATTTTCAGAAACGCAAGTCTGAACACAACCTGATTGGAAACCATCCCTCATCAGCATGCACTCGTAAGTAACTATAAAGGGATAGGGGGGCCGTACCTTCATGTAAGGGGATAAGGGAGTCCAGGGTACCAAAGATCTGGTTCAGCTCCTGTTCTGTCATGATGGAAAGCTTGAGCATGGGGTCGTGATAGGCCTGAGAACGGACAGACAGAGTCACTTCAACAGGCTACCGCCAACAAAACCTGTGCCTTCTGACCTGGACAAAGCATGACCCACAACGGCATCATAAAAAAAATAACTGGACAATCCATCAAAAAAGTACCGGGACAAATTTAATGAAGACAAATACATAAGAGGGTAAGAGTCTGATAAAACACAGACAATTACCAATATGTAAATTACCAATAGGTAAAAATTAAAATGTTATGCCCTACATACTATGGGTTTGTAATAATTAATTACATGTTTTTCAGAACACTGCTACACCCCTCTTTTCCATCTCCAAACTGTTAATGGTCTGAGAACAAGTTAAAAAGGGTAACTCCAGCTAAGGTAGCTCAAAGAGTTACAATAGTCATTTCAGCTCATACCCTATAAATGCCAGTTGAAAAGGTTATACATGCTTATTAAAAGAAATGTACTTCAGCTTTTAAAGCACATCAGTCAAAATGCATTTTTTTTAAAAAAGCACCAGAGAAGGAACCTCTAATTGGATACAAAGTTGACAAAAAGTGATGAGAACATGGGAAGTATACTGATGCCCAGGCTTGATGAATGGTGAAGGCATTTTAATCATGGATAAAGCCACACTCAGTGCTATTATGGGCCAGTAATGAGAGTCTTCCATCTTCCCTGTGAAATGAGTATGCAGTTGTCACCATCTGTATTACGAAAAAGTAGGCGCACTGAAAGAGACTCAGTGCTTCGGTGTTTTGTACTTGAGGTCAGCCTAATCCGTCAGCTAGAGAGCTCCCATAAATCTGATTCATTACAATGGAGATGCTTGGATATTTCACATTTTCTCCTACACCTGCCCAGCACAGATACTCTGCCATCTGAAACAGGGGAGATCTGGAGCAGAAGCCCTTGATAGGAGCACATCCATCTGACTTAAACACTGTTAAACACATAACTTTGGCACATGCTGTGAACCACAGGCAGGATTCCTGCTTTCAGCCCTGGCTAGGTCAAGTCACAGCACCCACGTGTGAACCTACAGGGCTGTGTCTTCCAGGACATGGGGAAGGGCAAAGCAGCTGGCTTTGAAATCACCTCGGTCTCTTTACTGCACTGTTTTACTGCAATTTAAGAGGCCTCACATATAACCAGGCTGCCTTCTGAGGTAATGCATCGATTGGGTCGTGCTCAAGACGAAAGCAGGACCAGATGCTGCTGGATTTCAAACAATCCCCTGCCCTGCTTGGGTGTGCAAAGGGCGAAGTGAAACGTGAACTGTGCTTCCCACATGGGTAACAATTTTATATGCTAGATGAAAGCAAACTATGCCAATGTGAAAAACAGATCTCACCTTCTTTGCCAATTTCAGATCTTCTATTAAGTCCTGCTCTCCCTGGGACAGCTCAAAGATTGCCTGTTAGGACAAAGCAAGCCTCTTCAGAAAACTGCGGCACACTGAAATCACTCACACCAAAATTATTCCTTATAATTATTTGAGACTCAAGCCTATTTTTTTTTTAAGTGACAGCTAACAACATTAGAATATCTTGATCTCAATATGATATAACCTTACTTTAGACATTGAAACAGGAATGGAAACTTTTGTCCTATACTCAAGAGAAAAGTGTCTGAAGCTTCCTGACCACATTTTCTGAAACTATTACATTCATCAAATCTGACTTGGAACTGTGCTGTGGGGCTTTGTCTCATCAAGCTTAATTTCATTCAAAAATAGTCCCCAAGAAAACTTAATTTTTTGAAAATGCTTTGCAGCAGAGGTCAGGAAGATTAACCATAATTAACTCCTAATTAACCAAAATCAGAGGTCTCAGACCCCAAAAAAGCTGTCCCCAGCAGTTTCTGTTTGAACTCTACGCAGATTTTAAAGGCAGCTCAATTGCACATGTGTTCAATTTGTCACGCTACTGCTCCTGAACTTAGAAGAGACTACCACTTCTGTAGCCTGTGTTGGTGAGGTAACTTAAGTAAGGAGTTGGGGGGCATGCGTGAGAGGTTTTCGAACAGACCAGTGAGTGAATTTAAACCCCCACACCAGAAGCGGTTTGTATTTCATGGCTTAGGGAAACCTCCCACCTTCTTGTCCCTCTTAAATCAACAACCACTTTACAGCTTCTCTACACTTGAATGACAAGGGCAGCGGGCTCTCAGTGCTGGCCTCTCTTTTATTGAACATATGCAATGTTTAATTTCACAGGGCTTTTTATGTTTTTAGTAGACAGCTTTCATGCCTGAAATGTAATTTGGTTATGCTGTCTCAACACTGGATCCTTTAACATGCAGTTGACTATATTCCCTTCTACCAATCACAGGTTACCGGGCCTTCAGAATGTAAGGAGGTGCTTACACTGAGCCTGTCCTTGCAGACTCAGGACTAGTGCAGGCTGGTATTGAGGTGCAGCAAGACAGTCTTATAAGGTAACATACTGTTCCAAGCTGTGGTTTTAACTTTGTGTTCCAAGAGAACTACTTTGTAAATCAAGTTGATGCAACACTATCGCTCACTTTAACCAGTAAATTACTTGCAAGACCTAAGAACATCCTTGCTGAACATATTCAGGAACCAAATGCTTAAAGGGCTATGACACCCTCCATGAAAAGCAGCTGAAGTAACAACTCACCTGTGGTTTCTGACTCTTATTTCTATATTATTTCTGTGCCGTTTTCTGACCTCTCATTTTGAAGTTTCAAGTGGGAGGAATTTTAAGATACTTGTACTGGAATTCCTTAGTGATGGAGAAATAAATGACAGACCTGCAGGGCTTTGAGACTCTGTAGCAGCAACTGATTAAAAAAAAAAGGCAACACCAACACTGTATTGCAAACGTCCTGCTGGTGTTTGAAATGTGAGGCTAGGCAACATTGTTAGAAGCATGATTTCACCTGCAATATCTACTTTTATTACCCAGAAACCAGTAACAGATCATCGGGATAATGGAACCTATAGATCACTATTCTTCACCAGTAAAGCTTTAGCATTAAGATGCTACAGAACAAGAGTCCAACAAACGCTACAGGGGACAGAGCTTCTGTGTCTGCAAAGCAGCCCTGTGGCCTGGAGCAAACCCTCACCTCCTGGCGCTTGATCTCCTTGGAGGTGAGCATCTGGTTGAGACGGACATCGAAAGTCTCGCTCCAGAGCTTGCTGTCCCTGCGCTTGGTGATGGCCGGGGGGGCGTTCCTGCTCCATTGCCGCTGGCTGAAGATCTCCTGGCGGCTTTCGCTGCGGAAACTGATGGAGCGCTGGGGGGCGGAAGGCAGGGGACAAAGTGAGGCTCACAAACACTGGTCCATCTCTGCAAACCCGTCTGCTGCTAAACAAGCTGATGCTGGCAATGAAGAGCGGTCTCGAATGACAGCGCTGGGAAACCCATCGTCTTGAACGCTGTCTTGTCTGAGCACCGGCATCCACAACATTAAAAAGCAGGGGAAAACGAAGTGGGATGGAAAAGTGGTCTTGATTCCAAAGGTGGTAGACATGCCAAGGTTGTAACAGGTTGGACAGGCACCAGAGAAACTGACCTGATGGGCACAAGGTAGGAAGCAACACCTATAGCTGGCAAGTACTCAGAGTCTTTGAATGTGGGCATCAGATAGGTATTGATTTCAGCCGTACAATTAAACTGCAATTTGAATTTCCACAAGCCCAAGTCCACTTCTCAATGTGTTGCCCGTGTCTAATTCAGTCATAATATATCCCTATATACATAATAAGAAGCATTACATCTCTCTCACAATCTGTAACATAAGACTTTCAGTACTTGAAGTCTTAAAAAGACAGATAAAGGTTCATTAAAAATTTGACAAACTCCTTGTCTTCACAGAGGACCGAAAGGGCTAATATTAAGTTGCACTCTACAAACACTATGTTGTCAAAATGAAGCCTCTGCCATTCTTTAACAGATAACCTGTGAAACAATTGAAAGTCATCCACTGGAAAAATAAAATTATTTTCTTGGCATACCCAGCATTTACTCTGATGCATATTTTCACTGCCTACACTCAAGATTGCAGATTGAGGAATGGCCTCCAAAAAGAACATTTTGTCTTCTCATCCTTGAAGCAATATCAGCAGAGGGTGTGAAAAACACCTGCGGGACCTTTCACCCTCTCCCCCTTACTTATTTACCCACTGATAAAGAGAATTTATTACACTTCTCCCCATTCTTCAGTTTCCCACAGTGCAGGCCACAGATGGCAGACGTGAAAGCTGAAATGACCCTAATGTGTCAGAGTGCTGTGATTTAGGACAGATAGGGATTAATTGAGAGTACCGTACACCTTGTCTGACTCCACTTAAGCCGTGTGTGAAGACGCAGAAAGGGAAAGATCAGGTTGTGTGATAATGGGCAGGCAGCGACAAAGAACTGGCTACCTGTTCTCAATACCAAAACAGCAGTGTTTCAGACACTCGCTCTCTCTGGGACATGCCGAGCCATGCAAAGACACTTATTTACTTACTCCAACATGACCACTCTTTGGTAGAAAACGAAACAAAAAGGTTGAATCTGCTAAACAGGTGGGAATGTCCCAAATGTCAACAAGGCCGCCCTCACCCACTGATACCAGTTTATCTGCACAGGCATGGGCATGCAAGTGTGCGTTGGCACATTTGCGAATGCCAAGAACAAGTTTGTTGCTTATTCACTGGCTTGTCACTGGAGTTCTACTGAATGCTGCAGTGCATCCCAAACAAGATGGAAACAAATAAAGCAGACTTGTGAAGACTTCTGTTTGTTATCCTTAAAGACCAGAACAGCCAAACAAAAATCGGGCGCAGCATCTCTTGAAATATACAAAATCACAAATGATGACTCTTAAACAGGTTTGCAAAAGACTCCCACAGCTTTTGGATTCTCATTTTTTGTAATGTATGGAAAATAATAGAAGGAAATTGTTTATAGATATTTTCTAGCTCAGTGCTTTTTCAAACTTTTCTATCCCACACTGCACATAAATAAATATACACATGCTTCTGCATCACATCACTGGTGCAAAACAGTGTTATTAAGATCATGAACAAAATTTATGTTTTAGTTTATGTCCTTTAAAATTAATCTGTGCCATATGCGATTCCCATATATAAAGCCCTGGAGTGTGGTCTCTGACTCGTGTTTGTACCAAATGACACTTTGGGTATACCAACAAAATAATTGTATTTTTTCAGTGGATGACTTTTCCATGATTCTGCAGCTCATTCGTCAATGTCCGAGGGCACACCAGTACAGAAACGCTAATCTTGCTACTGAACACCTTATTCGCTGTTGTAGACACCGTAGTGTTGCTTTACTGATACTGTGACTCAAACTGCTATCTGTTACATGACTGAAACATTCTAGGAAAAATGTCTCTTCAAGCTGTCCGGAAGAATGCTGAATTAAAAAAAGCTAGCACTGCCCACTGCCGTGACCACCACTCCTGACAATATAACAAATATTTTCCCCTTGTACTCTTAGCCTGGAGAAATTTGTAATCCACATGCTGTTTTTAGTTTCTCATGAAACATACTGATCATTCACAAGATGCAACAAAGACAAATGAAAAGAATGTGTTCAAATATGGGAATTATTTCTATGAAAGGGTGTAATTTTACAAGAACTGGTGTAGATCTCACCATAAGATCTTAGTAAGGGGCATGGACATTCATGAGGATAACTGTCCTGTACTGTGATGGATATCCCTGCCTGGACCATACCTGGAGGGTCTGCCCAATCCGCTTCAGGGGCGTGGCCTTCACTGGGGGGATGAGGTTGGCCAGGGACGTCACCCGGGACAGGGGCTTAACCCGCTTGTTGCTGGGCTCCTGTCAAAGACAGAGGACACACACGACATTGTGAGAAGCCTTTCAAACCTCAATAGTCAGAAGGCACAGAAGAGAGCCCTCACCAACTGAATGCAATGCCTAACTCAGTAGGGAAAGCTGAGAAATCAAAGAATTAGAGTAAAAGCAATGCATTTTACAAAAGTTATCAATATCTTTAAAGGTTATCGATTAGGATAATGTGCTTACTGGTTAGATATTAGCAATCAACGAAGTTAATTTCTAACGTGCGTCATTCGTAGATATAGTATAGCTTACTTAAGCAAAATTAAAAAACTCTACCACCTTCCAGGAGAGGAGACACAGACCTCTATCCTCTATCTATTGAAATTCAGAAGAATGGAGGTAAATACTAACATACCACTACTCTAGTCACTACCTCAGCTAAGCATTTTTAAATGCTTGTGGAACATGTCACAGTACATTTCTTACAGATGTATTTCAAAATTCAGCTAAAACAATCAGGTGGCTCTTCAAATGCACTTTAACATGTATTCAGGTTACTACTAAGTTTTGTGACAACACCCATACTAACTAGAGGTCTAGAGGACCGAGGAGAAGTGATTATGCACTGATTTAGGTCTTTCCTGACCTAGACCTTTTCTTTTTCTGCTAATCTGAGGAAATGTCAGTACAGCAGCATGCTTAACCAGCATCTACCTAGCATTCCAGGGAACACTCTAATCTTAATCCACAGCCAACAGCTCCCTATGTCTGCTTCCTGCCTTATCTTTTAGGGGAGCTAAAATGACCTTTGTCTTCCCTCTATATAAGCAGGAAAAAACGTTCATACTGCAACCAAAGCCCCCTGAGCAATGGAAAAGCACAGGTACCTTACGTCTCACGATCTCCATCCAAGTCCAACATTGGGCACGGAGTGCTGAAAGCCGCACTGAACCACAAGGATGAGCGACACTGCTAGTTTCCTTCCCCGAGACCAAAACACAGCGCTCTGTCTGTCATCTCTCCTTCTAGGCCATGCCTGGACATCTTCCACAGCCATTTGCAGCTACTGCTCTGAAGGAATCCCTGCTGCCCTAGCTCAGCGCTCACCCACGCGGCTGTGGCGTCCCCCCAGAGGTTACGAGCACCTGCAGTACAGCCCTAAACCTGGCACGGAGAAAGCCAGAAGCAGCAGCCGCTCGCAGACTCTGCAGATCAAGAGAGAGCAGCTCTGGCTCCTGTGACTGAATGTGAGGACCTACATTTCTGCAGTACCTGCGAGACACAGGGTACATGTTGGGTCTGCCCTTCAGTCTGCACGCAGAACGCAGGGGTGGGGGGGAGCTCAAGGATTGCAAAATTTCAAACGTAAAAAAAAAGAAATAGAGGGCACTGGAGGGAGACTATGACAGATCTCCCAGTTGCAGCGTCAGTTCTCTCAACAGCAGGTCTCTCTCTCTCTCCCTCCCCTCTCTCCTTCACAACAGCGATATCCTTGTGATGAGACCAGTCTGACGTCAGTGCAGAGCTGGATCTGAGCACGGCCCCCTTTCACAGAGTCCACAGCCCCCTCCACACACTGTCTATGTCAAACACATCCTTATCTGACCAACTCCCATCCTGAACATGACCAGACTGGAGAATCTGCCTTGTACAGCACAGTCCTATTAGTGCTGAAAAGGATTAGTCACATTTGCTTGAAATTTGCTACATACAGCCTGAAAATGATTCCCCCCTCCCTTCACACACACACACACACACACTTCTGCTTTAAATTGCGTGCAAGTTCATTTGTCTGACCAGCGCAGAAATTCAGAATTCAAATATAGGACCACTGCTGGAATCTGCACGTCTCTTAAAAGGTTTATATGATCAGGACCTTATTTTTACCAACCTTTTTCCTGAGCCTCATCCTTTTTAAACATGAATAATTAAAGAATTCACTTAAGTCACAAGATTTTCTATTTCCCCTGTAACGACAAATGCAAAAAGAGTTTGAAAATGGCAAAATCCAAAAAACGAGACCTTATAACCTTCTCATATATAACCCATCTAAAGATCAAGCAATAAAATGTACCATGGCCTATTTTTTTTTGATGACTGTCTCCAGGCCTGTGCATTAGGGTGTCTTACGATACCTACTACCATCAGCTATGCCTAATACAATAGGTATTGTGTGCTCTGTAATGCATTATAATAAAGTAACATGATCGTTGCAAGTGAGCTGAGTTTAAAAGAAAAATACCTTTGAGACAGGAAAAAACATGCATTCGGGCAACAAAATCAAATACCTTTTCACATTATTTTCAGGTATGGACTATGAATACTCGCCATTAATTCCAATTATTCAGTAAGATCTTTTGGCCAAGCATTATAATATGACATTATGTAACACCCATATTATATGCCACAGACACCACATACAGGATTCAGATTTCCCCCCTCAGCAGACAACAGAAGGTCCTCCAGCTAACTCTTTGCTCAGCTTTTATCTTGCTGTATTCACAAGGGAAGAGTGGCTACTCAGTTCGCTGCTGTCCAGATCAGAGAGACTGCCTGAGGTCTCTAGCCACCCATTCAGCCTCTTATCTCTGTCTTGTAAAAAGGCTCTTTGGAATCCGATCACACCTGGCTGCTCAGCTAGTTAGAGCAATAAAAACAGCCCACACAGTGCAGGTACTCCAGGACAGGGATGTGTGTTTCTTATCCAGATTATCCTCCCCAGTCAACCCCATTATTTGAGAACACTCGTCTGAGATAAGCAGGTCGACCAACCAATTGAAGAATGCCAAATAGATTGGAGCTCTGCCAAGGTGGGCACTGACTGCCATTTGATTTTCTGCATTTGCTGTAGTCAATGGTGATTAGTTACAAGGGACTTCCATTTCATTATCTATAGGAGGGATTCATCCAAACAGGAGATAAATACATGGCTTGACTGGGAATAGAAATGACAAGATCCAGGATTTGTGGCCCACACATTCCAGACTTCAAGTGTTAACTTCCATTAGTTTTCATGCTTGACCACTGTTTATGGGAATATACAGTAACAGAGGTTATAACTAAGGTGTTTTCTCTAGATGGAGGTAATGGTTGCATGAAAATGGACTTACTAAAAAAAAAGCTCCCCTCTGACAGTACTATTGTATGCAATAAGAAAATTGAATTTCTTCCATGGGCAACTCACATCAGCTAACAATTAGATTAATATTTTCATTTAAAAATATCAATAGAGGATCAGAAGCCAGGAATTCCGTTAGACCAAGCCTATAAACATTTATAGGCTAAGGAACATTGACGCAGGCAATTTTAAAAGTGGAAAACAGCTTGCCTGACCCTTGAAGCTCAGTAAACTTTCCGTTTTTGTGACGTTAAGGAGGCTTGACTACATTTTCTCTCTCCCTCTTGATAAGAGCTGGACAGCAATCAGCCCGTTCCACCTTTGCAACTGAATTGATCTGAAACACACACTGCAAACTCCCACACAGCAAAACTCACTGTAGCTCAATACACCCCTACTGCTGGGCTAAATGGCAAAGATACCTTCTGGCAGGCTGCGCTCAGCTGGATAGCATAAGATCAATGGCAGTCTGTGATGACATTCAATCTGAAAATTAATATGCTGCTATCACAATTGCTGACACCGGTGCAATGTTCCCCTTACAAAAAACATCCTCCCCCTTGATGACTTTTTCTTTGTAGTTGCAGCTCAGGGTGAAGTGAACAGAGCTCGCTCATTAGAGGCAAAGTCTATAATTGGCAATAAAATGCACCTTCAGTTAACCAAATAAGTCTGACCAGTATCTCCACAGAGAATAGAAACACACACACTTCCAGACACAGCAGGCTAACCAGACACACATTCATTTAGAGAATGAACTTCAATTACTACCATTAGCCATGTCTGGTCAAGGAGATGAGCAAATATACAGAGATCTGCATTTCTCCAATCACAAGCTAAAGAGAATACAAGATAAAATATGAGGAAACAGGTGACCATGCTTTTTACACAATGAGGGAAACAGCTGGAAAAAAAAGACCAGTCTATCTAGGATGATGATTAAAAGAGGAAAGACCACAGCTTCCATAATAAGTATTGGAGATTTTACAAAGTTGTAACAGTCACAGAGCGGTTTATGAATTCATAATGGTAAAAAATGTGCAGCATCTTCTATAACACTTTACTTTCTCTTTAAGAGAGGCAAATGTTAGCACTTGCAGAAAATTGGGGGAACGAACCTTGATTTTTTCATACTGGGGAAAGCAGAGCTGTCAGTGTGTTCTTCTGCAAACAAAACCTCGTTTAGGCAACTCAGTGAATGAACAGAGATGTTCTATAAACTTTTACTTTCAAGATAATTCCTCACTTGAGCTCCTTTTCCACAAATGGCAGACTGGATAATGCCCAGAGGAGTGTGGAGACTCCTTGACAATACTGAAGATCTCCCACCATGAAAGCATGAGAATGAAGAACTAGGACAAACCGCCCTGCATTGTCTCTGTACTCACTGACCTGGATATGTTAGTGCATTAAGAGCTGTGACCCATCAACCCCCCTTTTCTCTCTTCCCCCAGTGTGTTTCATTGTCATAGAGCAGAACACACACAGAGTGTCAAGCTGACTTGGCAACATGCCTGAATCTCATTGTTGCTTTGCATCTGTAAATCCTTCCAGCCCTCCAAATAATTACAGCAATGCACACGACAGAACTGAAATTCATACACCTGCCTTAGTCAATGACATTTTAAAAATGTACAAAACTCCCAACCTATTACTTTTAAACTGAAGCTTTTCAACTAATATGCTCTACATTAAAAGGATTACCTCTTTCAATTTAAAAGTTAAAAACTGCCATTAACTTGCCTTGCTGGAGATATGGTACGGTAGGTACAGTACTTTTTGACAATTGGTGCTCAAAAAGAGAGCTACAAAGACTCTAGTGCAAAATGTTTCCCCATTGGGAACTGCATAGGACCTTGGACAATACTTTTTTTGTGTTTCATTACATACCATTGCGAACTTGGCCTATAGAGCCCTAGGTAACACAGAAAGAGACAAACATCGAAGAATCACATAGGATTCACCAAGCAGCTTTCTGGATTGAAAGAGTGAAACCTCTTCAATGACAAGCCAGAACTCCTGGGAAGATTTCTGTATCACTTTTTGAAGCTGCCCTCTGCCATTCCTGGTTCACTAAACTGTGAAACCAGCTTGACTCTGTTCTCCTGGGAGTTACAGCAGTGTCAGCTCTCGGCACAATGGCACAGCAAATACATGTGATCCAGTCTTGCGGGACTTTCCTGAAACAGGCCTTACATAACACCCTGCAGGGAAGGGAACTGATTGTTTTGAGCGTTATTAACCTGACAAAGCTATATCGCACAGGGTGACTCAATGCCAAATTCCCTCGATGAATTGTTTAAAACACACAAAAAAAACAACTGCCAGTTATTTCATATTGTAAATAACGCAACATCTTTACCTACAGAAATAGTGTCATAAAAAGATTTTAATGACAAGCACAGCTTTCTGGTCAGCACTAACAGATCAACATTTGACTTTCCCTGGATGAGTCTGCACAAGTTCCCTGTGCAATCCCACACACGCTGTACTATAAAGTTCTTCCACTGAAGCCAAGCCTGCAGTTTCTATTCCAGACTAGTGCCCACCCACATCAATGTGCTCCTTGGGTCACCGAGGACTGACTGACCTCTGGCTGACTAGAGCATACCTCTTCCACACCAGCATATTATCCAGCGCAGATAAGATTGCACTGTGTTCACTCAGCACTGTCAAGGTTTATTACTAAAACGTTAAGAGCCTGTTATAAACCTAAAGAAAGTACAGAGAAAGACACAGCTCTGTGCCTGTGCAGTTCAGTGATAAAGCAAGCCCTTCCTCACCGAGTGAAGAGTAAAGCAAGGACTTCACCCCCTACTCCCACAGCTACCTTATGATACCAGCTAACACCCCATGGAGTTTATCTCCAGGCCACCATGGAGTGTATGCAACAGGCTGTATAACTAGCAGAGGAAAAAGCTACTTTGTAAACTTGCAGAATGTCTGAACTTATTCAAGCTACAAATTAGAACTGTAATTTACCAATGTAGTTCATTCACCATTCTGAAAAGGGATTTAAAGCACTGAGTAGTGCCATCACGCAAAAGGCTCTTCTACTTACTGTAGGTACAAAGATCTCCCCTACTAATCCACTGTGTTGGAAGTCATTATATCCTTGCCATTCTCACTGAGGAAAGGTTTTATTTAAACAGATCATGAAGGCCCAAAATGGAAGCCAAGTGCCCATTTCCCTCTGTGGCGGTACATGTAAACTGATCAGCTGATCCAGACTTTCATACTGCAAAAGTGGCACTGGTGTCTACCTCTGCTTTTCTCTCTTATCCAAGTTACACTTCCAAAATGCATGCAGTTAGGATTCAGCAG